TGTGTGTGTGTCTCTCTCTCTCTCTCTCTGTGTGTGTGTGTGTGTGCGTGTGTGTGTGTGTGTGTGTCTCTCTGTGTGTGTGTGTGTGTGTGTGAGAGAGAGAGAGAGAGTGAGACGGAAAAAGGAAGCACAATGGCAAGAAACAGGGGCTTGTGGCAGATTTTCGTCAGCCATCTACCGACCCGACAGGAGGCTAAACCCTAGCAGCCTGAAACCGGTGCCGATGCTTCAAGCCATGATCTGACTTGACGAAAAATCGGAGTGAATTACGGAGTGAATTATCACCCTCCATTCCATATGTCGGCTCCCACCACCCTCAGCGGCTAGGAAAGCCCCCAACAAAAAAAAGAAAAAACAAGAGTCCGTCACAACCAAGGAATACACACCACGCACGCAGCTGGTGTAGACGCACGTCATGGCCGCCAATATGTATCTATAGCTGGCAGTCACGACCAGTTGCCGCCATGACTATTGCTTTGAAGCTGCTGTGTCTGGTTTACACTGTCATCATCCACATGGCCCATTTTCGCTTCTGGCCTAATTGTCGGGAAGGCTGCTTTAACCCCTAACCCCTGCTTCTCCGCACATCCTCATCTTGTTCCTTGAATGTTCTTCCGTCTATCCCTTTTCTTCCTTTTTGTCTTTTTCGTTTACGGCCCAGAAACTTTGCCAGTCGTTTGTCTTGATGTCAACACAGCGCACGGCCGAAACCGCCAATGGCATATACAGCCAACTGGCCCTTTCTTATCTGTTTGCGTGCAAGTATGCGTCAAGGAAACAGACGTGTGTATGGGCACTTGCCTCTCAACTACAGACACCTGGGCAAGCTTGCATCCCGGGAACGAAGAAGTGAAAAAAAAGTACAACATAAAAACAATGAAAACAGAAAAGAGAACTATAAAAAAAACGGTGCACTTCTCTCTCTCTCTCTCTCTCTCTCTCTCTCTCTCTCTCTCTCTCTCTCTCTCTCTCTCTCTCTCTCTCTCTCTCTCTCTCTCTTCAAAAGACTTAACTCTCTCCTTCAAAGACTTCTCTAACACATGAATTGGCTGCAAATATTACAACGACCCTCCTCATCCCTCAGGAACTACCGTCTTCATTATCCCTTTCCCGATCCTTTTTCTCCAGCCGACTCCGATTCTGGTCGCTAGGACGGTTCCACGGATTAGGTGTCTCCCTTTAACCGCCGTTTCTAGTTGACCAGACCCGTCCACGCGTGCCTACGCACGAACACAAAACTCAAGAATGAAACGTTGCGTTGCAACGTGAGAGAAAGAGAGCACGATGCAGGGAAGGTGACACCGTGCAACAACACGCCAGCCACCCGCACTCAGCACGTAAGATTCTTTTTTTTTTTTTTTTTTAATTTGGACCATTTCTCGATTTATGCGTGTCATCCTTGCGCAGGGGCCATTTGCTAATTACCCTTCTCTGTATCGTTCCAATTTTAACGGATGTCCCGAAGGACTCAGCACGTAAGATCTAGCCGCAAGAGGAGGTGAAAAAAAAAAAAAAAAAAAAGAACGGAGAAAATTACAGCCATTCAAGAGGAATTGGACGGATGGTTGACTTGTGCAAGAGGAGGTGGATGAATGAGCGCGTAGATGCAAAGTGGGCAAGGATCATCACATGCGGAACGCCCGGCTCATATGGAACTAACAGACAGTCGAGCTTGACAACGAATGCATTCCGTCTCTCTCTTTGAATCCGACAATTCTCTAACAACAAAGGTATTCTGTTTCTCTTTCAATTCGGATAGCTAGACAAGTATACTTCCTCATCTCTACCAGACCACATCCATCCCCCCATTGCTCAGTCAGTCCACAGTCGCGTGAATTCCTACCCTTTCTCGTTGAACTCTAACAGTTCCCGATGCTCATTGTCCATATAGACGACGTAATGGCGTCTCCTTCAATTCGACCATTCTCGAATTCGATCGCTACCTTGCATGTACACTACCCTGATTACCGGACCACATGCATCTCATGAGATTCATTTGATCAAAACAAACGATGTACGGACACCATGTGTTAAGTCACTGTATTTAAAGCCAAGTTCAAATCGCACTGGGCGACGATGAAAATGGTCGAGAACCCCCACATCAGGACAAAAAGACGCAAAGGCCCGGAGGGAAAAAGCATAGAGAGCGCGGTTCCCAGCATGTGCTGCTTCCCACAAATAGAATGGAGCATTTGTTTGTTATAAAAAAAAAAAAAAAAAAAAAGGCATAGAGAGAGAGAGAGAGAAAGAAGCAGGAAGGTAGGTAAAGACCAATAGAATGACGGGATAGAAGAAATTAAGACAAACGGACAGAGGGAAGGCAGCAGGACAGAAAGGCAGGCAGACAAACACACGTCCACAACCGGGCAAACAGACTGCTGTGTACAGAATAGAGATGAATAGCAGGCAATAAATGCGTTCACAAGCAAGCATTCTTTATGAGCAACTCTCTTTCTGACAAACAAAGCCTATTAAAGCTGAAGCTGGATCAATTTTTAATCGTCTTTTTGCATCGAAAAAAAAAACGCACAACAAAATTAGTATATATTGCGTGCTTTATCAACTTGCTCGATTGATCAGAACTCCTGTTTCTTTGGGTTGGTTCGCTTGAAAAAGGTTTTGAAGCTTCGACAATCTATCGATGTTTGTACGAGAAGCAAGTCTATGGCCACCAATGGTAGTGGATCTTGCAATTACTATCAACAAAGTGATTGGACATCAATGGTATTGGACTTATGAGCATTCAGATTCTAATACTTCTGATGAACAATCACTAGCGATTAAAAAGTTTGTTTTTTATGGTAATCTTGTCGGCCTGCCTTTCGGTCCTGCTGCCTGCCCTCTGTCCATTTGTCTTCATTCCTTCTATTGTGTCACTCTATTCGTCTTTACCTACCTTCCTTCTTCTCTCTCTCTCTCTCTTTGTCTTCATTCCTTCTATTTTGTCACTCTATTCGTCTTTACCGACCTTCCTGCTTCTCTCTCTCTCTGTGTGTGTGTGTGTGTGTGTGTGTGTGTGTGTGTGTGTGTGTGTGTGTGTGTGTGTGTGTGTCTGCTTTCTACCTCTGGGCCTTTGCGTCTGTTTATCCTGTTTGGGGGGCTCTCGACCATTTTCATCGTTGCCCATTGCTATTCGTATTTCACTTTAAATACAGTAACTTAAAACACGTTGTCCTTATACAGCGGTTGGTTTGATCGATTGAATCTCGGACGCTATGTATAAATCAGCCCAATTGAATCAGAAGGCAAAGGGGGACAACAAAATGGGCCGGGGGGAGGGAGAGAGGTACTACAGCCTCTTCCGTTGGCTCACGATCTCTTCACATACTAAGGGCATACTCACACTAGGACTTTCCTGGATGTATCGGACCGGGATTGCAGCATGACCTGGATGTATCTGATCGCAGTTACGTCCAGAGCTTATTCCAAAAAGTCCTAGCGTGATTATGCTCTAAGAGAAATACAAGCTATATGTTGTCTAGTACATAGTACACTTATCGTCTACAGTTCAATCACCAACAATATGTTGTCTAGTACATAGTACACTTATTATCTACATTTCAATCACCAATGAAAGAGTACACAAAGGTGTCCTCTGGGATCGGATTCTCAAAACAAATGCGACGAGATGCCAGGCAGCAAGCATAGACAAAAAAATAACACGAAAGGAGCGAGATGTGTACATAAACACATTCTGATTTCGCTGTTCCTTTGCGATATTCTTCTCCTTTGTTTTGTTCCCTATCTTCGTTTATATGACTCAGATGCACAATTTTCACGTATGAGTGAGTAAGCGGAAAGTTGCCAGACATCCCTTCTGATGAAAGCACGAGTTTTCAAGGTACACTTATATAAGCGGCTATGCAGACCGATAGACGGCGGGGACGCTGCAACAGACTGCTGGCTCGTCGGATTTCCATCGATTACATCGACGAACAAGACTTTGCGCCGTCCACCAAAACCAATTGATATGTATGTGTGTATATACATACAAAGACATAAATATATCATCACATGAATATGAGAGCGCAAAAGCGAAAAAAAGAAGAAAAAAGAATGAATTCGTTTTTTTATATGTATATGTATATACAAAGACATAAATATATTGGCACAAGAGTATCAGAGCGCAAATGCGAACAAAAAGAAACAAAGAAAGAAAAACAAGAAAAAATGAATTCAGTTTTTTATCTTCTTTCTTATAACTCCCCCTGTATATATATTTTGCCTCGATTTATCTGACTATTTAGCATCTATTTTTACCTTTCTTATGCTCATGTACATACATATACGAGTGTGTATATATATCGTCAAACAGAACTGCCCGGTAAACCGTAGGCAGAAAGGGAGAAGAGGACAACAATCGCTATATATATGTGATGTGAATACAAACACTGGGCAGCTCTGTTTGACGATCTATACATATGCTAAAATATACATGTACAAAACAAAGAATGGGAGCAAGACGTCGTCGATCTTACCATCTTGTGACATCGAATCCTCCGTCTCCTTTCGTGATACGGCCTACCCTCAAGCAGCCTTTCTCGATCTTCGTCCCACATCCAGATGCCTTGCACGCCGCACGTGCAGATTTGGCATATTCCACAATGTCCCTCATGTTGCTCAGCTGTTCACGCGCAACCACTCCCGATGCTTCAGTTCCCGCAAACACCCTTGAGATCCAGCTCCTTACAGCGCGCAAGGGAAGTCTACGAGAAGAGGAGGAGGAAGAAGGAGACAGAAACCCCGACGATCGGCTACCCAAGCGGTACCCTCGTTCGATCTTTCCAATTCGAGTGCGCCACGTGGGCAAGGCGGGCGGACGGCGGTTACAGAGCAGAAGCGTAGTCTGAGAGTCAAAAGTCTGAGAGTCAAAGATATGGTGGTGCAGAATACACTCGCCAGGGAGAGAGTTAGCAACGGCTGGGCGGCAGAACCCACCGGCGCTGTGGGACCAGTGGGGCGGACGGGACCGAACGGGCTGATGACACCCGTCGCGGAGCAGGGTACCGATACCACTTCGAATCCCTCTGAGATCTGGCAAACGAGAGCCGACAGATGAAAGGAGAGCGAGAGGGAGGGGAGCAGAAGTCGGCGGAGGGAGAGGACAACAACGAGGAATACTGGGCAATGGAGGACAGGTAACGCTGGAAGATGACCAGGGGAAGACAACAGATAAAAGGAGAGCGAGAGGGAGAGGAGCAGGAGTAGGCGGAGGGAGAGGGCGACGACAATAAGGAGCACTGGGCAATGGAGGAGAGGTAATGCTGGACGATGACCAGGAATAAAGCCAACCAGAAGATGAAGGCGAAGGAAAGACCTCACGCTTGGGAGTCTGCAGAGGTCGAACACGATCGGCGACTGGGCAGTGGTAAGGAGAAACGGCGGCGGCTGATAAGCTGTGCGGGCGAGCGCGCACTGCTTTCGCAAAAGGCTTTAGGGACACCGCCCTCCGCGCGAAGAAAATTCCAGAAGCGGGAGAAGAGGTCCGGCCAGGAGATCCCGCCAAATCTCGCGAGCTATGGAGCCAAATTTTCAATCGCTCTCCGCTGACCCCGCGCATTTCTAGCCAAGGGACCGTTTCAATTATGGCGCCAAGCGGCATGTCCTTCCTGCCTTCACAAAGTTCGGGCTAAAAAGCCGCTCCCGCGCAGACGGATCACAGATCAATCCCTCGCGCCCTCTCCCGCCGGACAACCAACTCCTGCAAATAGCCCGCCACCACCACAACCATCATCCGCATGGGTGACTGGGGGACTGGGGGACTTGAATCAGCAACCGATTTGCAAACTTACTAGTAGTTTCCCGCCGTAGCTGTTGTCCGACGGCTCGGCGGAGCCCCGAAAGGCGGGCTTGGTTGCATGTGCAAGTGCGTGCCGCCCTTGCAACAGCCCCACGCACGGGGACAGGCATAGCCATATACGCACAATCAAAGGTCGAAGGCAAGGGCGAGAACTTCGGGCAGGACAAAAGAAAAGGAAGACCGAAAGTTGGTAGATATTGGCCTGTGATCATGCAATACACAATCACTGAGTATCGTGCAATCTACGCGGAGATTTTCCGTTATTGCTCCCGTTTTGCGTACTTGGTCGGCCGGCGCCCGTCTTCGCCTAGAATCGGTAGTACCCGGGCGGGCACAAATGTTCCCTGTCGCGCTTAGTGCGGCGACAGTCCGGTTGGCTAACCATCATTCGTCCCATTCGCGTCTCACCACTGTCATCGCTGCCCGTCGCTCTGTGTCTTCCCCGCCGAGAGACCCTCCAAACCCCTCATCGAACCACTCTTTCCGCGTCGTGCCGCTCAATCACCGGCGTCAACGAGGGCGACAGGAAAACAACGGTGGACGAATGCGGGCTCTCTCATGGCTCTCGGGGACGAACACGTGTTTCCAGGCTTTCGTTCCCCGCCTCACCATTGCAGTTCTGGGGCGAGGTCCCATTAGCAGTCGAATAGGAGTGTGGCCGATCCAGGGGCTGGGTCCCACTTGCTCGAATTAAGGGGTACTGACCGTAGATAGCAAAGATCAACGGCCGAAATCTCCTAATTTGCGCAAGTGGGACCTTGCCCCAGTGTGACACTGAGGGGTGGACCCCACTGGGCGGCGGCTGGAAACTGGTGTTGGCCAAGCGCGGGGGCGCAGCCAGGGCAGAGGGGTTGTAGCGGGGATGAAGTTTTGAGTGTTGTAATGTGTTGTTTTATAGCAGGCCAGTCATGAGTTTTTGCATTATCTAGATTTGAACATGGGTCAGTATTTCAACATTTCGCATTCCTTTTTTTTTTTTTTTTTTTTAACTGCCTGTAGGATGCTAGGGGTGATGGTAGGAGCAGACACCTCTAGTATCCACAGGGAGGCTCTGTCTATTGGTGGGGAGCTACACCTGCTGGAAACCGGGTCCAGCGTCCCTTTCGTGAAAGAATTTGTAAGCACATGAGCGCCTGAAAAAGGCAGAAACAGAGCTGCTGGAAAACGGGTCCAGGGTCCCTTTCCTGAATTGTCCTATCCTCCTAGAGCTATAGCTAGGGCCCAGTTAGGACCGCTGGGGGGCACCAGCCGGCCCTTTCTGTTCCCCTGCTAGCCCTTCCCTCCGGACTATCCAGTCTGTCGTTGTAGCTCTAACTTCTAAAATAAAGGTAATACCTCATATGCATCTAATTCGGCTTACTCCTCTATTGGTTGTTGAGAGCTGGAAAACAAATCTGAAATCTTTGCTGCCAGCATTGACTGCCCCAGTAGTTGGGGGGTTAACTGAGCAGCTGTTCCTTTCGTCCAAGGGGTAAGGAAAAAGAGGAAGGAAGGAAAAAAAGGGAAAAGGAGAAAAGAAAAAGAAAAAAAAACGGAAAAGAAAAAGGGAAAGGAAGGGAGCCCAAAAAAAGCAAAAAAAAGGAAGAAAGAAAAAAGAAAAAGAAAAAGGAAAAAGGAAAGGAGGGAAAAAAAGAAAAAGAAAGAAAAAAGAAAAAGGAAAAAAAAAAAGGAACCAGGCCCCAAGGCCCCAAAAGGATTTCTTTTAACAAAGGCGATGTGTCATTCTGTTATCGTCTCCACTAAAGCAAGCGGATGTGGTGGGAATGGGTCGGGAAAATCTGCTGAAGGGCGCATTGGGAAGGAGGATTCTATGGTTGTCCAGTCGTTTGGGACCAGACGGTAGTCTCTGCACTCCGCCAGATCTCCTGGGTGTACCTCGTTGTCCCCCCCCCATTCTACTCTCGCAACCCATCCTCCTCTTTCTCCTCCTAGCCAGTCTCTGCAGAAGGAGGAGATTGCCCGTTTGATGTCTCTGTTAGTGCGAAAAAGGTTCAGCTGGGTTTTCAGCACGTGCCACCTCCTCATAATTTCCATGTTAATTTGCTGTTGAATCTGAACTGTTAGCTCTGGACCTTCTATTCTCGCTTGTTCCATAGCCAAAATGCACGTTTGCCACCAGAGCCCCAATAATACTGCTCTCAGGCCCATTCTGAACATATTTTCTACAAAGTCAGATGCCTCCCGGGCCTGTGGCCAAAAGCCTGTGAGGATAGCCCGCCATGACCAGGGCCATGGCGGGTCTGGAGTCATTTTCCTCCATATCCTATCCCACCAACTCCATGTTAGTTGTGCAGTTGGGCATTGCATGAAAACGTGTTCAATGGTTTCTGCTCTTTTCCTTGGAGGAAAAGTCTGCAGACAACGTGGACACCAGGGTAGCGCTATTCCTTTTTGTTCCAGATTTGTATGATCTATTAGCCAGTTCATAGTCGGGAGGCAGCGGTGGGCAATCTGCCACTGCAGTGAAGTAATTTTTGTCGGTTTTGATTTTCCTTCCTAAAACCAGGGGATTGGTTTAAGGAGCGACCGGTCGACATTGAGATGCTTTGCCCATCTGTCATTTATCAGGTCTCTCAAGCATCTCTTTGGTCTAAGCATTCTATAGGTAGATTTATCAGAGAGTTTGTAGAAACTGATCTTCTTGGTGGGGCCTGATCTTCTTCCCCCTGGGTTCCACGACCACTCCTCAGGATCAAAAGGTAGGTCTTGTAGCCGTTTGGTTGACTTGCAAGCCCGAGCCCCTTGTCCCTCTCCCAGGACCCGCACTCGGAAGATCTTTGTCGTGTCCATCCATATAAAAAGGGCCCGGCTGGTTTGTAGCGCTTAGGATTGGCAGATTGCGTATCTTTTCAGCAGGGCGTCGTGGGGTCTCGTTTGATGGACTCTCGCCAGATGTTCCGGGTCTCCTTTAATTCCAATCCAGTTCCCCCCCTTCAGCCTGGGTCCTTTTCTTAACTTCATGTACCAGGCAAGTGGGATTCTCTCTATGAGTTTGTCCAACTTATGTGAAATGTGGTAACAATGTTTTACAGTCAGGTGCAGTTCTTCTGCAGTCTTCCAATTCTGGTTTCTTTCATTTCATATGTCCCCTATTCTGGTCACCCCTCGCTGCACCCAGTTTTTCCATGGCGAGGTTGAGCTATTCATCACTTGTCCCTGTTTGTCTGTGAGCCATCGGTTTCCAAATAGAGGTTGCACTTCCCATCGGTCGGGTGGATGCCGCTCTGGTAGGGGCAGGCGCCACCAACTTTTTAACAGAGAGGGCCAGAATTGATTCATTGTCTCTTCTGTGTTCCCTCCTCTGTCGGACCATTTTCTTGGAATTTTTCATAATCGGTCCTCTATCCACGTGAGGGGGTGCACTTCAGGGGGTGCGGGGGGGCTAGACGTGCTAAGTGTTCTAAGGCCAGAGGTTGCCAGGGGCTATCCGTGTCGAAAACTAGTTTCTTAATCCATTGGAGGCGCAGGGTTTGGACTTGCGTTGTTGGGTCTATTATCCCTAGCCCTCCTGCTCTTTTGGGTTGAATGACCGAGTCCCATGCAACCCTGTTAATGACATTTTCTAGTTCGTCATCCCCCCGCCATAAGAAAGTCGCCACCTCAGTTTTCAGAGAGCGCATCGCCTCTTTGCTAAGAGGCCAGACTAAGGATTTGTACCAGAGAGAGGCGAATATCAGATTGTTTATTGTCAATGCCCTTCCTAGGAGGAAGGTGGATTTATTTCCCCAGTTGGGCAGCTTGGCCAGGGCTGGGGCCCTAATCCAGTCGTCGTTATTTGGTGGGCAACATGTTGCTGTCATTGAACTCCCCAGGATTCTAATCGGGGCCTCCAAAGGTTGCCACGAGCTACAAGGAGCCTTTGGGGGGCGCCCGCCTTGGGAATGGATCCACCATCCTTGTGTCTTATTCCCCCAATTAACCATCATATCCGACACCCGGGTAAAAAGGTCCATCACTCTCTGGATTTCTTTCAGGTTCCTGGTTGCGGCTTCGACTATAATTGTGAGGTCGTCTGCGAATATGAGCAGATCGAGACCGCGTCTTCAGGGATGTGAGTTATTTTAATTCGTGAGAGGTCTTTGTTTTTCCGGATATTTGCAGACAGGGCTTCCATGATGAGTAAAAACAGGAAAGGGGCTATTGGATCCCCTTGCCGCACTGAGCGTTCCAGTTTTATGGGAGGGGTCAGCGAGCAATTTATTTGTACGCTTGTGGTGGCATTTTTGTGGAGAATTTGTATCCATCATCTCCTAAATATCGGCCCAAAGTTCATTTTTTGAAGACACTTGTCAAAGAACTCCCAATCTACATGATCATAAGCTTTCTCAAAATCTAGGAACACCAGTGCAGCGTTCTGGTTTGAGTGTCTGGTCAGTTGTAATACCTCATGGACCAGAAATACATTATCTTGGATATTTCTGTTTTGTCTTCGGTTACAGACCAAAGTTCGAATCCAGTCCAAAATCCATTGCTTCAGAACACCTCAAAAGAACAAGAATAAAACGAACAAGGAAAAAAATAGGAAAAAAAAATGAACCCAAGGTCACCATCATCTCGAGTTTGATTTGGTTTGATGATTTGTAGGCATAAAATAAAATCTCTCCAACTACTGTGATCCCCTTCGGTTTGCGTCTGAGTTAACTACTGTTGCTTAGGGGAAACTCGACCTAATTTTTGATGAATTATTATTAAAAAAAAAAAAAAACGATTTTATTTTTTTTAAGAAAAAAAAAGAAATCGGCATAGCCTGCGAGGAAAGCGGGTCCAGCGTCTCATCATACATTTTATAGAGCATGAAATAGTGAGAGACACAATTGCGAGCCTTCTATTACATTGTTCGCTGGGAAATACCCCATAGTACTTAGAACTTTTGAGTTTCAAGTTTCAACAATCAGTTATCTCCTTAGTTAAGGTAGTGAATGGTTTGTGTGACGCTCTCTTATCTGATAAACCGTCTACGTTGTGAACCCCTTTGGTCCCATAACCTCCTCTGTTCAGTA